GGACATTTGCTGTGCAAAGCCACCCCCTTCCCGGCACGTCCGGCACCAGGCCAGGCGCCTGCTCTCCCCCGGGAGATACATTACTGGGTGGGATCGAGTCCTCCGGCCCCTCCCGCGTGCCGTGTTGGTCCCTTTGGAAGGTCATTTTTACACATCAGTTCAGCTGTTTCTCTGCCCACCGACCCCTCCCGGGAGGAGCAGGACATTTGCTGTGCAAAGCCACCCCCTTCCCGGCACGTCCGGCACCAGGCCAGGCGCCTGCTCTCCCCCGGGAGATACATTACTGGGTGGGATCGAGTCCTCCGGCCCCTCCCGCGTGCCGTGTTGGTCCCTTTGGAAGGTCATTTTTACACATCAGTTCAGCTGTTTCTCTGCCCACCGACCCCTCCCGGGAGGAGCAGTAAGCAGACAGGCCCTGGCAGCTACGCAAGCACAACACAGCAAGGCAAAACCTTCCCCCGGCCGTCGGCGAGCCAGCTGCAAGGCCAGGCCCTGCTGCTCCCGGCTCAGCAAGCGGAACTCCACCCGAGACTGACCAGCCTTCCCTGCAGCGGGCTCCAGTTTGCTCGGCCCCTGCAGGGTCCTCCCAAGACCAGGGCTCCCCCAGTGACCTGGGACGCGGCGCAGGCACAGGCAGAGACCAGGACTGGGGATCTGTGACATGCCGGTCGAAGCAGCTCTGCAGGGCAGCGAGCGGAGACACAGAGCCGAGACTCGCTTCCCTCGCCGGGCTGAGTGCTCCCCAGAGGCCAGCCGGCCCGCAGCCTCGTGCATCAGCTGAAGGCACAAGAGCAGCCAGCCTGGGAGCGGCTCCTGCCCCGCTGATGGCAGAGCTACTCTGCACAGAGATCCATCCGCCGGAGGGCACGTGCCCCCTCTCAGCCACGCCGGGATCGCTGGATTACCCAGCTTCTGCCTGGCAAGGCCCCGGCCTTACCAGAAAGACGTGGTCAAATATCTGCGTGGGGCTGTCCATCTGGCCAAGGATCACGATCATCTCGTTGTCGATGAACTCCTTGAACTCCCGCAGGTTGCACACCATCTGCATCTCCAGCTCCGTGCGGATCTGAGGGGAGGAGCGCCGGGTGAGGCCTCTTCCCGCGGCCCCCGCCAGCCCTCTCCGCCCCCGCGGGCCGCTCCCACTCACCTCTTTGGACGTGATGTTCTCCAAGTCCTTCTGCATCATGATCTCCCGCAGCTTGGTTTTAATCAGCCGCTCGGTGCGCTCGCGCTCCGTGGGGCTAGGAGGAAGGAGAGGCCACTGACTGCTAGTTTGGCTAGAGTTGCTTCATGGAGGGGCGAAGCAGGGGGGGTTCCCGGGTGAATGACACCAGGCAGATGCGCCTACAATGGGACAGTCTCGGGGGGAAGCTAGCGCTTTGGGTCCCCTACATCTCAGATCTGCTTCACAGCCGGGCTCGACTCGGAGCAGGGCTTCGCTGGCCCCATAAGACACCTCGCATTGCCCCTGCTCTCCTGCCCGTCCCCCCACGTCTCTTGCAAAGGTAACGGCTCCACACCACCTTACACCGAGGCAGGGCAGCCACCCCTGCGTGCCTTCCCCCAGCTGCAGCTGCCGGGCGCCTGACCGCCGCTTGCGAAAACAGCTTCCCTCGGGCCCAGG